GGGCAATATTTCCCATCCTTCCCCTCTGCTGAGAACCCTGAAGACATACAACCTCCTTCGGGTCAATGAGATTCATGACTGAGATGGTTACTATGGCTACTGAAAGGCGAACTTTCACAGGCCTGGCCTTCTTGTCCCTCCACAGAAAGACTGCCCGGAAAAGAAGCCAATGCAGAGGGAGCAGAACTGAGAGGACAAGAAAGAAAACAGATTTTAAAAAAATGATGTCGTGGGAGTTCTTAAACTCAACCAAGTTGTATTTCAATTATATGAGCCAATTAATTCTCTTTCAGGCATAACTGAGTTTGATTTGGGTTCCTGTCACAGGATTCAAAAATCTTCCTTTTTTTTTTTTTTGGAGAGATTTTCACTGTAGGGCGCGTGCGCTCGCCAGACAGACAGAGAGAGACATAGAGACAGAAAGCGAGAAATCACCCCCTGGGGGGATGGTCACGCCGCAATCCCTTCTTCTCCATTCTCCTCTCGGGATCTTGGGCACACACGCACACGCGCCCGGCGTGAGTTTTAAGCCACCGGGTCCGGGACACGAACCGCGGTCGACTACGTGGGAGTCCAGCGACATAGCCATTACGCTAACTCCTGGTTCCCAGGATTCAAAAATCTTCCTGAGTGACAGGAGATATTTTGTCGATTTTATCTTATTCAACCTTCAGCGCTGCTCTCTCAGGTGGGTTTGCTTATCTACATTTGACAGATTTAAACATCAAAAAGCACTGCAGCTGCCTCTTCTTGCATCTCTACGATCCATTCATTGCACTTCCCAGATCATAATGACCTGTATAATGACTTGCTGTCTCTGCCCCTGCCCAAGCACCATGCCCATGCGGCAGGTGCTGTGTCTCTCCTGTTCCCCAAAGCCATGGGCCAGACTAGAGCCTCAGTCTTAGTAGGTGCTCAAACATGTTTGCTGCATAGTTGAATGTGGTTACATGACTTGCCCAAGAGTCTGGCCCAAGCTCTGATTGTAAAGTCCATGTGTTTCTTACATATTTCCTCAGCTTTGTTCCAGAGGGAAGAGTTAGACCCTATGGTATGCATAATAAGGACGTTTTCAGTGCACTCTAAAGAACACATTCACCAATGTCTCCATCAAATGATGGGATGAACAACTTCAGGAAGAGTGAACGATGATGATGCTATGAAAAAAGGTAGGCTCTGACTGTGTTGATTGGTAGGGTGAAGACTATATCTACTATCTCTTTTCTTCTTCACAACTCTCTGATGGTTGACCATTTATCTTCATGTCCCCGTAAACCAAATGAAGCTCAGAGTTCAAGGAACATATACAACGGGACTTCAAAAAGTTTGTGAACAAAAGGCAATTGGAATACAAGTTTATTTTGTTGCAAATTTTTTTTAAATCTATGCATAATTTTTTAAGAGGCTTTTGCTATAGGGCACATGTGCTCTCCAGAAAGAGAGAGATAGAGAGACAGAAAGCGAGAAATCACCCCCAACGGGAATGGCCACCCAACAATCCCTTCTCCTCCATTCTCCTCTCGGGATCTTGGGCACACACGCACATGCACCCGGCATGAGTTTAAGCCACTGGGTCCAGGACTAGAACCTCTGTTGACTACATAGGAGTTCAGCAACATAGCCATTACACCAACTGCTGGTCCTGATCTATGCATAGTTTTTTGATAATAGGCATTTTCCATGAACTTTTTGAGGATTCCCTCATATGACCCCATGAGCTGTGGGCATCTGAGTTGAGACTTGAAGCTGGGTCCAGGGCCAGCATCTGTGCACCAAACACAGCTGCTGTTCTGTCTCCTGAAGGAAGGGGGGTTCTATGATTATAACCATGCAGGCAGAGGATAGATGACCCCAAATGAGGGGCTGTGATTCACCTGGAATTCTCCATGCCCAGTATTCTCTAGCTAGAGGCTCAAGCAGGCAAGGAACCAGCATTCTTGAGGCCCAGGTGATGTAGTACGGTTCATCTCCAGAGACTCTTTCCAGCCCTTTGTGCTTCCCTGTCCTCGTTTTCCTCCCCAATCATGGATGAGTTCAACATGCCCTACCTAGGAACAACCCCACTGCTGGCCCTGCCAGTAACAGAGCCCGTCTGTACTCCGAGAACTCCAGTTCCACACAAACTTGCCTACGAGCCATGTAATGTAGCACCTTCTAGCCAACCTCTCAGGCTGCCAGTGCTTCTCCAGCCTCTCACTACAGGCCAGTTTTCTCCTCCTCCCTCATAGTCTCCACAGGAGAGGAACAGTAAGGCATCAAGGAGTTTCAAACAGCATCATATAATAGGAAGACGACTGGTCTGTGGCCAAATGGACCCGGATCTGCGTTTCCTTTCAGCTTCATTCTTTGTGACATTGGGCAAATTGCTTGACCTCTGGGCTCAGAGACATCATTTGCAAAAATACAAACAGATTTGGAGAAGTAAAGGATATATCGTATGTCAAGCACTGATATGTATCAGGAGGTGAATAAATGGCAGCCTTATTATTCAAGTTGAAACTTCAGCTCAATACAACTTTTACTCTCACGATGATGAAAAAAGGAACTGACAGCTTACTGGGGCAAAACCGCCAACACCCCTGTATCTAATGTTTCTATGCGTCTTCATTTCTCCAGCCTGACTGGTTGATGTGATGATTCTTCATCACTTAGAAGTTAAGATGTTTTCGAAGATGTTTTCTTTTTGCTTTTTGTACTGCAGTGATGGCAAAGGTAGTAAAACTACTTTCATTACCCTCATTTTACACTCAGGAGAATTTTGACTGAGAGGTGAAGTGGCAAAGTCTCACATCACACACACGACACATGGCACATGGCAGGGTCAGGACTTGCTAAGCCACAGCACTGTGACCATGATCCAGGGTTCCTTTCTCCTTTCTCTTTCCATGTGCTGGACACCTCCTTAGGAAGCACCTTGGGCTATAATTGTCAGGGTCGGGCATAAGGCAGGTAGATGTCACAGACACAGAGCCTGGGGAATGGGTGACTCTATCTAATCGAGACAGGAAAGTGGACTGTGGACAGGCTCTGGCCCGGGCTGGAGACTTATCTGACAGCACTTCAGGGACTCTGCCCAGCGGTGCCACCTGGGTGCTGCCCAGTCACTTCATTATTCAAACAGATGTGGATCTTACAGAACCACTGCCAAGAGGACCCTGGTTAAGATCTGCTTGGCAGAATGGAACGATCATAGTGCTGACACCATCCTGCATTGACTCCAGCCTGAGTCTGTCACCATGTGAGCTGCCGGGGTGTGGCCAGGTGCTCTAATCTCTCTGAAATCCTATTATCCATATACAGACAGTATAGACCAGAGTAAATGAAATGAGAGTGAATGCCTGGAACACTGGAGATCTCAGAAAATGGTCTCCCTCATGACAATTAGTTGTCCTTCACCAGGGCTGCATTCCTGTTATTTACTATGATGGAGGTGACCTGCGGACAAGGAGTATGTCACCACCTCTCCTACTTCACTTGTGCACCACAGACCTTCATGAGCACCACAGGGATGTTTTCCTTGCAGAAAGCCTGCTGAAGCGTCTTCCATTTGAATTTGCTCCTTGTGGCAGATAGGAGGAAGAGTGTAAAGGAAGGACCATTATAAAGGACTCTTTATAATAGTGTTTATGTGTCCACATCTCCTCTCCAGTTCAGGTCAATGCAACATAGAGACTTGTTGAGCACCTACCATGGGTATCAAGATATAATGAGGATGATGGTAAATTATTAATATGGAAAATAACAGCTTCTATTTATCGAGCTACTACTAATGGCCATTCCCCCTCCATTCATTTTATCTAACCATCATAATATTCCCTGCAGGTAGGAACTATTGTCCTCATCTGTAAGATGATGTCCAAGTAAATTAAATGACTTGCCTGAGGCTATTCATCTGGTAAATGCAAGACTCACGACTCAAGTTCAGATGTGAATGATGTAAAGACTACTCTTTCCAAACACACCTCAGTGGCTCTCAGGAAGCTGTTGTTATGAATAAGAATAGAGAAGAAACATTGCTTTGGGGGGACTTATTGGTAAATCAACCTGCTCTGAGAGAAGACTTCATGTCAAAAATAAGTGAGGAATGAGGCTCATGAGGTAAAGTAAATCTGATTGAAAAGAGCCTGCATGGAAAATTGTAACAATTTGACACTCACTACAGCCTTATTTGTGATATAAAATTTTAAAAAATTGAAATAGAACCAGCCTAGGTGGCACAGTCTATAGCATCCTAGATTGTAGTACTGGAAGCCACAGATCCAACACTGGGTTTGGATTCCCTGGTCCTGAAAAGGTGTTGGCACCCAAGATCTTGAGGGGTTGACAGGCTGGAAAAAGGGAGACAAAGCATAGTGAGACCCTGTCAAGGGAGCTTCTCTCTCTTTCTCACTCTCACATGCATGCACATGGGCTATCGCCATTTTAAAAAATCAAAAATAACCTGAAAGTCTATCAGTAATGGAGGTTAAATAAATCATTGGATAGCTATATAATGCAATATGGTATTTGCTTACAAAACAGATCTGCATGTGCTTATCTATCTGAAACAACCTCTAAGGCACTGTACTGGGTGTTCCTCACTTGTGTCTTACTCAAATCCAGTCTCCTTCCCTCCCTGCTCAGTTCTGTGCCTAGAAGCACCAGTGAAGCTCCTGGTTTTCTGGCTTTCACTTTGGGTTTGACCAATGGAAGGCACCTCCAGCAGGTTAGAGGGTGAGAGGTTAAAGTATTTCTTTCCTGGTCCTCTCCTACTTGGGTGCTGTGGTTCTGGCATAGCCCAGTCTCTCCACAACATCCTCTCCTGCTCATCAGCCTTCCACTCATGGCTTCAGTTCTCCTTGGGCTCTGCACTCTATTTCTCCACCTTCTTCCTTCAGACACTAAAATCTCTCCAACTGAATTCAGTGGAATGTTGTTGCCTGCTGGGTTTCTGATTATTATACAGATATATTATGAACATTATGGAGGAAACTCCCAAAGAGAGCTGGCCCCCTACTGACCTGCCAAGAAACTTTCCAATCATCTTCACCATTAATGTTCCCACAAGGCCACCGATGGCAAATATGGATACAGTCACAGACCAGAGCAGAGTCAGCGTATCTGGGTCTATTGGATGTCCATGCCTTCTTTTCCATGTTTCATTGTAAAAGGCCTTGATGTACTGAAAATAGACAACAAACCATGTTATTTCCTCTGTTCCACCCTGCTGCTTGAAGCAAGTTAGTGTATAATACAAAGCTTTTCTTTTAGAGAGAGATTTTTGCTATAGGGCACACATGCTCGCTAGAGAGACAGAAAAACAGAGATAGAAAGCAGAGAAATCACCCCCCAAGGGGGATGACTAAGCCACAATTCCTTCTCCTCACACACGCCCGCCATGAGACTCAAGCTGCCAGGCCCGGGGCTCAAACTGTGGTTGACTATGTGTGAGTCCAGCGACATAACCATTATGGCATCTACAAGTCCCCAAAACAATTTTTAAAGAGCACTTTTTACATGTTTAGCACCTTACTGAGTTCTGTTTGAACTTTATTTCATTGGACTTTTCTAACAGATGTTGAGAATAATCCCTATTTTCACTTCATGTGCAGACTAGTAAACTGAGGCTCAGAGAGACAAAGTGATTTACTCAGCAAGTAGCAGACCTGAGAGTCAAATTCAGATCAAACCCCAAATCTGTAATGACCACCACATTTGGGCTTTCCAACTTGAATTCTAACAGAAGAGGACCTTGGGGTAGGAAAAAGTAGAAGACAGAAAAAAACACTAACCACAAACAAAAGAATGTTCATTTGGATTTCACCAAAATTAAAGTCTTCTGCTCTTCAAAAGATACCACCAAAAGGTGGGGAAAAAATGTATATTAGACCTTTTCATTGTGTCCAGCAATTGTGTGTGAGCTCCACCTAAGTGCTGGATATTGCTCTAAGCTCTTGTTGGATACTTGCAGCAGCCCTGAGAGATCGATGTCATCCCCACGTTGAAGACAAGAAAACCAAGGTTCAACTGATTTAAATAGCAAATCATAGTGCTAGGATTCCCACCCAGGTCCGCACAACCTGAACGTAAGCTTTCCCTGCAACCTCATATCCGGGCCCACAATGGACAGTGATGAGCAACTATGAGCATTCCAGAGAGTGAACTCTCTCGTATATAAAAAATAAATAAATAAATAAATAAAGAGGAAAAACAAAACAAAAAAACAAATCAGGGGATCAGCAGATGGCTTAACAGTTATGTTGCTGGACTCCCAAATGGCAGACTGATTTTAGGGTGGCCATTCCCCCCAGGGGGTGATTTCTCGCTTTCTCTCTCACTGTATGTCACGCTCTTTCTCTGGCAAGTGCATGCACGCTAAGGCAAAAACCTCTCAGAAAACAAAATAGCACAAACACCCAGTGTGAGTATAAGTTGCCAGGTCTGGGACATGAACCACGGTCAACTACATGGAAGTCCAGTGACAGAACCATTACACCATCTGCTGGTTCCAAAGAATAAAAATTTTGAATGTTTAAATTAAAGTTAAAATTTAAGAAAATAAGACCAGAATAATTCCATAGAGAGGGAGAAAGAATTAAAGCCATTACATAATAGTAATTCAATAAGAAACAAGTGAGCTTTTCTTAAAATTACAAAACATAGTTTTAGATAATATTCTTTTAAAAACTGAGATTTTTCAGGTGGAAAATGAGCAATTATAAAGACCAATTAACTTCAGAAGAAAATGTTTTTACAAATTGGTAAAAATACTTGATGTAATCAATAATTGACTAGAAGATCTAAATTAAATATTTCATTTCAACAGAAAAAAAAGGTCTAATATGACTAAGTAGTTATGAGCAGGGTGTGTTTTCTATGGTGGTGCGGGTTCAGTTTGTATAGCCATCTTAGAAACCAGTTTATCATCATCTAATTAAGTTGAAGATGGCCAGCAAATGAACTTCTGGAATATTCTGCAAACATCTTTCCCAT